CATTTCCAGGCCAGACCGCATCTATCTTTCGCCTGAGCTGGCGGCCTACTTCAAGGAGGCACACTATGACACCTGGTTCGCGGACCATGGAGCGCTTTCATGTGTCCTACATCTTCCGGATCACAACCCCAGCTACTGGGCATGGCCACTACCAGGGCAGATCCCCTGGTCAGACATTGATGTGCCAGCCTGGCACGCCACCTTCGATGCCTCCACGCCAGACATCCAACAAACCTCCGACCCCACACAACACTACAAGCACCTTGGACATATCTACGAGAGAAGCCTGGACAACCACCTCTACCACCAATCACGAGCGAAGCTTCCACCTGCCTGTCTCGGGCGTGGCCAACGCCTCAAGCCCACACGACGACAACCGCAGGCCCCTCTTCTGCGACCCAGTCGCCCTGGGGAGGAATATCTGAACTCTGACTTGGTCAGCCGTTCTGTTCTACGCTGGTTCCGCCAACTCCGCCGATTGCAAAGCATGATGCACTCCCTCCGAGCTCTGGAGGTCAAGGACCCACACATCAACTCTACAGAGCGGAGCTCTGGCACGCTATTGTGCACGCGACCGGCTTTCAGCACGGCTTCCTCCACTGGTGGCCCACTCGCAAGCACCGTTTCCAAGGAAGTCCACCACTCCTCACACACCACCTTCCCAGCCCTGACCACATGGCCCTTATCTACCAACTTTCGCAGCCTCGAGAGCTGGAATCTACGACAAAAGTCCAATTGCAGTCAGCTCCGACTTCAGCACCACCACCACCGCATCTTCAAAGCCATCAAACCAGCCAGCCGGGAGCCCATCGACCGTCTGGTCGAGAAACAATCAGCCACAATCATTGCCGTCTCTTCAGATGGCACTCAGATCCATGTCGACCAGCCTTTGAAGACGACAAGCCCACTCGCTACCTGGCGGGTGGACGGCACTCCAGCCACAGTCCATCAGCTCACCCCGGACACCTTTGAGGTCGACACTGACCTGCTACGGGCCAAACTCTACACCAGCACAACCACATCACCACAGAGTCCCAAATTCACACGACCCTTGAACTTTTCTGGCAGCAGCGCTGGAGCAAACACGCCCACCTTCCACCTGAAGCCTGGCGCAGAATCACTAGCTTCGCAAAAGCTTACGTTCCCAAGGGCATCATTGACCTCCCTACGCTCCAGCTCCCTCAATGGGATCAAGCACTTACCAAATTCAAAAAGCACTCAGCCCGTGGACCTGACGGCTATGGCCGTTTGGACCTCGTCAACATGCCAACACCACTCAAGCAAGCACACATCAATCTGTTCCAGCGCATCGAGCGTGGTGAACAATGGCCACAACAAATGCTAACAGGCTTCGCGCACGGCCTTGCCAAGTGCGACGACGCCGAGGAGGTCAACCAGTTCAGACCCATCATCGTCCTCAGCATGCTCTACCGCAACTGGTCCTCCATCCGGGCACGTCAAGCGCTATCCAGACTCGCCAGACTCATGGACTGCCCGGCATTTGGGTTCTTGCCCTCTCGCGAGGCCCAAGAAGTCTGGTTGCCTCTTCAGGGCCTCATCGAACTCCGGGCGCAACAATCCAGCCCGCTAGTTGGCTGTGTGGCCGACATCGAGAAGGCCTTCAACCACCTCCCACGAGGCCCTATCAAACAAATTGCCAAACACGTGGGCTTCGACACGGACTTTGTCGAAGCCTGGCATCGCTTCTTGACTGGCTTCGCCCGAAGATTCAAAGTTCACGACACCCTGGGAGCCCCTCTCTTCTCAAATTGTGGCTACCCGGAAGGCTGTCCGCTCAGCTGCGTGGCAATGGCTCTCACCGACTGGTGCTACCACTTCTACCAACGACACTTCGCACCTCGGGCAACCTCCATCTCATTCGTTGACAATCTTGAGCTGGTCGCAGACCACCCCGGAGCTCTCCTGCAAGCCATAGTGGCCCAGGAAACTTTCCTCGACATGTTTCAACTACAAATTGACTCCGACAAAACCTACCTTTGGGGTCTCCAGGCGGCCCACCGGAAGCAACTGAGCCATATAGGATACCGGGTCAGCCAGAAGGACAAGGACTTGGGTGGACAAATGACCTACGGCGCTCGCCGCAGAACCGCCCACCACACCAGCATTGTTCACCAACTCCAGACCACATGGTCCCTCTTACGACGACTTCGGGCCCCAGCACACTGCAAGGCGTATGTGCTGGTACAGGCCATCTGGCCCAAAGTCTTCCACAGCGCACCTATAGAGGACCTCTCCACCCAACTCATCAAACAGCTCCGCACAGCAGCGGTCAAAGCACTTGGCCACGGCAACGCCGGAGCCAATCCAGCCATCCGACTCAGCCTGCTCACCACCAACATTCTCAACGACCCGGGATTCTACCAGCTTTGGCTGATAATCCGCACCTTCCGACGACTACTTCACAAACAACCAACCCTTCTCGAAATGTGGGCCCAATTCCAAGCATCCTACAACGGTCAATTCTTCGCCGGACCCTTCTCCGTCCTCATCAGGCAGCTCAACATCATCTCCTGGCGAGTCGATACTCCGCCCATCCTTGTTGACCACGATGGGCTCTCCCACGACCTCACCACCATCGACAACGCCCACCTTCGGTCCCTTCTCGAGGACGCATGGCGACAAAGACTGGCTCTCGACATCTCCGCTCGAACGGAGTACCAGGGGCTCACTGGGATCAACTGGAGCGCCAGCAAACACATTGAGGCCTCACTCACACCGATCCACCTTGCACAATCCAACGCGCTCCGGGAAGGAGCATTCTACCTCAACATTCACAAGGCCAAGTACGACAACCTTCTCTCCCCAACATGTCGCTACTGCCCCGAACTCGACACGGCAGAACATCGCTTTCTACGCTGCCCGGCCTACGCCACCTGTCGGGCTGCTCATCCCCAAGCATGCCAACTATGGGCAGACTCACCGGCCTGTCTCAGGGAGCATCTCCTGCTCCCTAGAAACCCTCACATCCAACAACTCCGCACCCACCTACATCAACTTCCAGACCGGCAACATACCTACGCAGCCACCAGCAACATCACCGAGACCGTGCACTTGTTCACAGACGGCTCATGCACTTCTCCGCGATACCAACCACTGGCATTAGCCTCCTGGGCAGTCATATCCGCTACCCAATGCGTGCAGATTGCAGCTGGCCGGAGGTGCAATGCAACAATCGGGCCGAGCTCTACGCGGTCATCGTAGCTGCGCAATGGACCCAACAACAACGCTGCCTCACGCACCTGTGGACAGACTCAGCTTACACGGCCAACGGCACCTGGCAACTTCAACACGACAACCACAACCTTCCCTACCACACCCACACTGACCTATGGAGGCGGCTAGCAAGCACAATAGCCAACCTCAACCCCGAGCAGTTTCAGGTTCACCATACACCTGCACATGGTTCCCCAGACGACCAGTCCGACCCGGTCGATGCCTGGCTGGCACGTTGGAACAACACAGCGGACACAGCTGCCAAGGCTGCCAACCAGCAGCGAGGGCAGCCATTTCAAGACATTTGGGCAGCCTACGAAAAGGCTGAACTCGACCAACTCTACCGCCTCCGGCACCTTCAGGCCCTACACCTCGCTATTGCCACAGTTTCAGCATCAGCAGCCTCGGCGACCTCAGCAGATGCTGAACCTGACCTACCTGAAGACGCAGACCCTCCCCTTGAACACAGTGAGGCCCCGCTGAGTTGGACCGATTCGCTTGATCCGAATTGGAGCACCACCTTGCATGGCTCGCAATTGGAATTTAAGTTTGGTAGCCTCTTTCCGGCAAGTGCCATTCGCTGGCTTTTGCAGGAGGCAGACTCCACCGCCAACGCCACCTATGTTTCGTGGCTCGAATGTACAGTTGCATTGCGGCTTGCCGCCATCCGATTTCCGGTCCCGACTCCACACTCGGGTGGCGAGGTTTGGCGGGACCCATGCCCACACGTCAATGTCCAAACCACCTTGGCCGCTGACATCAGGATGGTTCGCTTTTTCTTTCGGCTTTGTGCCGCTCAGTTTGGCTTGGACCTTGACGAGGTAAGGGGCTTGAACCTTTCAACACTAGGTGTCGCCCCTCCACAAGCAGGGCTCGCTTTGAAAATCACCCGGGCGCACAGACTTCGGGTGTCTCGCGAGCTGAGGGCATTTTGTTTAGGTCGCCCGATCCGGTCAGCAAATGACCTGGCCAGACCCTTCAGGCACCAGTCCTGAATGGAACCACGGACAAACGCCCGCCGCACTGCTTCCGCTGTGCGCGGGCACTACGCGCGTGTGAATGAATGGGCCAAAAAGGTGACGTGTCAAACACAGCAAAAAGGGAAAGGTAGGAGCAGTGATTGTCCAGGGTTTCAAGATTCCTAGGGTCTGGAAGTGAAAAGCCAGAAAGCCCTGGGCTGGGATCCACCCTGGGTCTCTGAAACGAGTCCTGCCAGTGGCAATTTCGCCGCCGTTGGGATGGGAACCTCACCAGATCTCTTCCTGCAACAAAATTTGGGGAACCAAGACTACCTTAAAAGAGGGGCATCAGCCGGTAGGCTTGGGGCAATAACCAATTTCTACGGGTTTGAGGATCCCGGTATTTCGAGACGATGCTTTCAAGAGGAAGCTCAAAGGTCGTAATACACCAGCTGTGAATAGGGATTTATCAACGCCCATGAAAAAATAGGGATACACCCTGCCCACCCCGAAGTAATGGAGAGAGGCCCCCAACAAAGGGCCCCTTCGCCATACACGTTCCATCATTTTCCGTCTTGGGTACAAGGGGAAAAATGCATGGAGAGGGTGCCCACGTTTGTCCCGAATGAGCATGTGCTAAGATGGCCCCCTCTTCCACCCCCACCCATCCCTTGCCCCCAAAAACTAATAGTGGCTTTCCCCTTAAAATGTCCTTTATTTCCCTCAAAGCGTCCCTTCAAAACAGCCCAACGCCGGCCCAAACCATTGGGGATTCGAGGCGCGATGGGCAAAGCGTTTTGGCTGCAGGTGGTACGAGGCCAGCCGCCACAGCAGATGCTTGGCCAGAGATCTCCTCAGTGCTGACCGTGGCTCAAATATGAGGCCTCATGCGAAGTGCGTCTGTCGCACTTGACAGAACATTGGCGGTCTTTGCCTATACTGCAAATTGATCTATGCCATCAGTTGTTGATTCTGGCGTGTCTCTTCTTTGCTCACGGAGATCAATTTGCTCCAACACGTTGTGCTTGAAGATGCAGGGCCCTCGAATTTGTTGAACACTCTTTGATTGGCCATTGTGCTTCCAAGACCGCACATCGTCCCTTGAGGATGTGGTATCCAGCTGCACTTTGCTCTTCGAACGGTCTTACAACTTAGCATCATTGGGTTTCTCAGTTTTCCCGGCAAATGTCCCACTGAGCATGAAACCCATCAGCTATGGAGCCGCTGGTTAGGTCGGAGGGTTCCAGGCAGATTCTTTCCAGGAAAATCATTCCTTGTACATATGGGTGGCTCGTTTTTGATTGGGATTTGGACCCCCCCCTAAAATCGTTGCTTTCCTTTTGGTTTCCCAGTAAAACCAAAACACACACACACAACAAGTTTGAACGGGGATGGAATTTTGGTCAAAAGATTCAATCGGATCCGTGAGCTAAGGAAGCTGGGAGTTCATTCTTCGACAGACGGCGTACCTTTGTCCATCAGGCCTGGTCTCTCGGCTCGCGAAGCTTTCAGTTTGGCCAAAGTGTCTTTGGCAGAAGCCGGGTTTCCTGATGACTCGGTCCAGGACCAAACTGCCCCTGAAAAATTGGCGATTGCCCCAACATTGCGGGGTGATGGCCAGTTTTTAAGGGTAGTTTGAGGGTCGAGGTTTATACCTTTAAATATGAGTGTTGCAGCAAGGGCCCATTGCATCCCTGAGCTTCAATCCCAGAAGGCTAGTCAGGCCGCCAGTCACAAGCTACCCTTGTGCTCAGATGGGAAGATGCCATGAAGTGTCCTTAGGTAATTCTGTGATACGCCATGGTACGAGTTACAGGGTTGTTTTTTTGAGATCTACCTAGTGGGATAAGTATGTGGCCTCATTGCGAGTTCCGGTAAAATGTGTCCAAATGGCGCAACCAGATCAACCAGTTCAGTCACACCTGTTTTTTTTTGGGAGGTTCTGCGTGGAACCTTTTGTTTAATTGGCCCTGGCCAGGGCTGAACTCTGATTACGTGGCTGGTTGCTTGTTTGGTTGGTCGGTCAGGGCTGGTTTCGGGTGAGTTTTGGGCTTGCTGAGATCTTAATGCGGCGGGTCTTGGGTTTTTTGGCTTTGATTTGCCTTGGCAAAGGGCTAAAGCGCAAGGGGCCCTAGAATACCGCCTGTTGACCCCAACCTGAGAGTGAAACAAGGGTTCCCAGCCGACCTGTTTAGAGGCACATCATGTGAAAAGCCAGTTTAAAAAGAAAGCACCTCAACCGCCCAGCGTCCGAAAAAGGTTTCGCGGCGGAGCCCCGGCGGCGAAGCTCCGTGAACAAAGTGTTGCAAGGGAGATGCAAGGGGCGCAACCTCTGTGTGTGCGTTTTTGTTGAGGGTAGTTGCCCTCTTTGTTGGGTTGGTTTGAAGAAAGGCAACAGACAAATCACCAACTTTAGGGGTCCCCCCTACTCTGACACATACCCATGTGATCAGTTTGCTTTCCTTTTGAGGTATTTAGGGTGACCAGTTTGGTACAGAATCGGGTAAACACTACATCTTGTTTTACTTCGGTTGGTTGAACATAATTCATTGATGCCGGTTTCTTGCGTTACTAGTGCCAGCCATCCATTTGGCTCTAAACGGCCTGGGGTGACCTGACTTTGAATAATTTGGCTCTAAACGGCCTGCGGTGACCTGACTTTCAATAAGTCGGCAAGTATTGGTAGGCTTCGAGCAGACAAAAAGAAAGGCCCTGTTAATTATGAAGTTGTCCAATAAGGTCTTCTCAGGGACCAAAGTATATGCTTCGTGAGCACATCTAGACTCGCCTTTGGCAGGCTGGAAGAGCTTTTCAATGTGACCGATGTCTCATCAAAAGTGGTGATGCCAGCTGCACCTTGCTTTCAAGTCGCACAAGTGAGCAGCGCGGTTTGATGAGGGTTCCGGTATATGAAGCTTAATCAACATGTTGGTAGAACCACCAATTAATGGCTTGGCGCTGCTCAAGCGGGCACGGGGGGTTCTGTGGGCACTTGGGAAAGCCACATGTCCGACATGTCCGTCCATGGCTTTTTGCTTGGTTACTGTTTGGGGAAATCACGGTAGTTATTTTTGGTTGGCAGCGTGCGCTTCGCGGTCGAACTTGCAATGTTCGCCGGCAAAACATTTGACCAGTTCTCGTTTGCTTATTTCTTCCCTGGCATGTAAGGACCTGTACTTAGCCATGCAAGCTGGCCGCAAGAAGATGTGGAATCCGCTGAACATGCTCTCTATTGACCGGGCCTCAGCTTGCCGTGTTTGCTTTTGTTCCGTAGTTGTGTGGTACGCTGGATTTGAGTTTCTGTGGCTTTGTGGTCGAGTATGGTTGGTTTACTTGCAAAACGGAGGGCATCCACCCTACCATCAACCAACAACACCCATGTTTGTATTCGCGCTGAGGATGAGCTGGAAGAGGCCTGGTGATTGCTGCTCATGAACCTGCACGAGACCTCGAGCCAAGTACTGCAAGTGGTTTAGGGGGCATCCAGCCTTGTTTCTGTGCGCCGTGCTTGTACTTTCAGGGCCCATGTGCAAGAGCCTCACAAAGTGTAGTTAGCAGTCAGCCCTTGGAGCAAAGTTGTCCCACGCTTCCTTTCCCACCCTTCTTGTCATCTTGCGCATTCTTTTGGAGGCGCTCAAGGAGTTCCGGCGAATCCACGGGAAGGTCTTCAGCAACGGCCGTAGGGCTTCGATCTCCCAAGCGGTGCAGCCGGTGATGTCCTGGACAGCTTTTCGAGCTTCTTGGCCCTCAAAGCTGGCGGAAACGGTCAAGCTTGGTTCAGGTCTGCTTGGTCCGCAAAAATGCCTACGTTGCAATTGCAAGGCTTCCTAAGCCTTTTGAAGTGACCTCAAGATTGGACAGTGCATGAAGCTTCGTTGGAAATTGGGGCGATTCGCTGAAATTGGCAGCTGAAGTGCAAGTGGCTTTCTGGAGCAGCTGTGCATCCGGTTCAAGCCCATGAAGCTCCCGTAATCTAAGTTACGTATGAAGTGCAGTACTTGGCCACTCACTTACTCACTTAGTGTTTGCCATGAATGGTGAGCCAAAGGGCTTTTGTGAAACTTTGTGAAAGCTGCCTGCATGGCGTTGCAGAGGATATGGTCTTGCTGGAGGACTTGCCCAACCTGGTCTCCAGCGCGTGTGTGACTTGGCCAGGTGCAACAGAAACGCATTGGGTCCTCGCCACGTGCGAGTGTGTCAGGCAAAACAAATAACTGGGACGTGTTATCTGCTACAATGTCTTTGTGCCGTTTAGAAATAAACAGTGATACCTCGGCAGAGGATGACAGCAGCGAAGAACTGATACTCAGGCATACAAGACCTACCAACCTGCTTAACCGATCGAGGCGTTGAACACGTTCGTCATCCAGAAGACTCTCCTGGGTGATGCGATTCCTGCCTCCAACGCTGTGCAAGTGCTGCTTGCGGAAAAGCCCAAGCCGGAGAACAGACACCTGGCTGCTGCCGCGAAGCGACCGGTTCCGGTAAGCTCCGGCAGCTTTTGTGGTTTGTTTTTTTTGTTCCAATGCCAAGACGGTGTAGGGGTTTCACAGTGTTGAGTAATGTGCGCCATCCTCAATGCTTGTTCAGCACGTTCCTTCAAGCCTATGATTATTTCTCCAATCCTGCTCTGGCATCAGGCTGATTGACAGCGCTGCCCCGAGAACCCGTTCTGTGAGCATGCAAAGCAGCGGAATTGGGCATCTGGAGATTGGTTTTGCATGCCACCATTCTTGCTACCTCAGCTTGCCCAAACACTTGTTGCTGTCTCCTGCTTTCCCCGACCTGTTTCATGCCCCACTTATACGTTACTTGCTTGAAAGCCTCGTATAATGTCCAAAGGCACACACACACAAACACACATGTAACAGAGCGGCCTCACCAACAGAACCTGACAGTGTGTCTTGCATCTCTTTGGGTTGCTGCGCCAATCCTGGCACAAAAGTACACACAACAGTTTTTTTTTAGGACATCCCGTTAGGTTTCTATGTTGATCATCCTGGAAAGGCTTGGAGCCTTCCTGTTTGCGCTTATCTCCATGCTGCTTTCCCTAGCGCATAAAAGATGGGAGATGTCGCCCCCCTGGCCGAAATATCCCTGTTGCAGGATACCCACAGAAGGTATGACTGTCCAAACCTTCAAGCAGCCAAAGGTTCTACTTCGCATGACAGCATTCAGTTTACTGTAAAGTTGTGTCTTGTTTTGAGGGTACTCCTTTGTGGTTTGTAAAGGGAAACCAAAAGGAGAACCATCATTTTGGTGGTCCCCTAAACAAAGACACACCTGTTTGGAGGGGTCCCCCGACATTTCTCTTGCGGAGGACACAAATGGTTGGTGAATTTGGTCACTGCCCTCTCCAGCGCTGCCATTGTCACCAGCTCCTTGGCACTGCCCGATTGGCTTGGGCCCCAGCAATTGAGGAGTTTTCACGGGCCCAAAGATAGGACATTGAGCGCTCAATTGTGAAAGCCCGAGCCACAGTTAAACTGCAGAAAGAATCGTCCCTACCTCAAATGGGTGCGGCCTTAAATGATTCTGGTACGCACCTTCACTGCGTGCCTGAGCTCAATTCTAACTCAATGGCACTTGCCACGCGGAATTACTACTGGTGTGCAGCGATGGTGCACACGTACCTGAATCGTTGGATGATCGTTTGCACAGTTGCACACTGTTATGTTGGAATAAGCAGCTGCGCGCAGGAATGCCTCTTGCCTTTGACGGTCTGAGGCTTTGTGCTGCTGGGGTTCTCCCTGGACCTGGCATCAGATTCAGTCGGGTGGGTCGTGGTTGAAGCAATCTTTTCTACTATATTTGTGTCCGAGATTGCGATCAAATCATATGCCGCCTGGCTGAAACTATGGAACTTTCTCTCCAGACGCCATTTGCGATTCAGGTCCCGGCTGACATTGCCTTTGTCTGACTGTCCTTCATTTCTCGCAGATGCCGTGAGTGGGACAAAGCAGCCACAGGGCTGTCTTACCGCACCGTAGTGGAAATGGATGGGAGTAGATTCATCGATGCAATGTTCGCAGGGATGTTCTTTTTCTTCTTCTTTCTTTTCACATAGCTGCTTAAGAGGGGTCACTCACGCGGCACTCAGGTCTTTACTCCAAGGACTTTCTTCTGTGGCAAAGACCGGTGGTGGAATGGCTTCGACTCGTTGCTCACTGCAGCCCTGGCCCCAGCTCAGGATCCAACAGAAGCCAATTTCGAAGGGACACAAGTTGGGGCGTCTTTTTGAGGGTCTACCCTTTTTGGGGTTAGTAAAAAGGGAAACCAAAGGAACACGACTTTGAGTTAAGCACATCGCTTTGTTGTCGTGGCAGCATGGCATGAATCTGTTAGTTTTCTTTGCACCATCCCCAGCAAGCAAAGGTGGGGACCGGCCCCAAGGTTTTGGTGTCATAGAGCCATGAGCCATTGAAGGGAAGAGCCTTGTCTAAGCTGTGTCGATATGCACAGGTTCAGTTGGAGACTCATTGGTCAAGCCCAGGGCACCAGGAAACATGTCAAAGGCAAGGGGCTTGAAAGGGAAAGCCGTAGGTTCTTGACTCTGAAGTTGCCACTCCATGTTCGGTGGCTTCATTTAAAACATGATGATCGATGTCGTGACCATTTACGTCATAGACCCTGCTTGCTTTACCTGTTCTGCTTTCGACTGACCGCAAATCGACAAGCATGTTGAAAAGGCTCTGTCAGAGCACCCCTCCCCCCCCCCAGATTTGTCAGGAATGCAATATGGGGAGACCCTCCCAAAGTGGGATATCCTCAAGGAAACCCACGCAGGTGGCGGTGGGCGAGCTTTTGTTGAACCTCGTCATCAACAACGAGTCCCAAGCGACGCTGAGCTTATGCAGTCACAGAAATCAGCCATCCAAGTTTTTTTCAAGCAGACGTGTCGAAGACTGTTTGAGGCCAATTCGAAGGGGTGCAAGAGAAGCAGAGCTCCTTTCAGCATGTTGCAGGTTCAATGACATGATGACATGTATATTTATATCATAATGCCAGAGCTCAACCAGAATGATCAATTCCTGTTCATGTCTCATTCCCATGCCGAGGGACCATAGGCAAGGGTGTTGCTTGTGTTTGACCAGGAAACCCCAGCTAGTTCGCCAAAGGCCTTAATTAGCCAAAAACAATTGCAGGGCGCCTAGAAAGGGTGGGCTGGCGATTCTACAGCTGCAATTGCCAGCCAAAACATGCGAAGATGCGAGGGAGCTTTGATCTCATGCGAATCCGATTGAAGAAGAACCAATCTGCACTCAGTGCAGATGCCGTTCTGGAAAGCAGTGCTGTGAAATCTCATACACCTTGCGCAGCACAGTGACGTGTTCAGCTGAATGTTTTGCTGAATACATGTATTGAACACCGGCATCCTCCATTTTGTCACACTTTTTGACAACACCTAGAATCTTGCAAACCCAACTTGTTACAGCGAAGCAAACACCTGCCTGCAAAAACTCTTGTATGCCAAGTGCTTCTCCGATCTCAGGCTTGGGTCCGAAAAGTCTCGAGCTTGCTATCGGCTCCGATCCTTCTGACCATGCAGCCATCCATCGGTGTGAATTCAACAGAGACTAGAGTTTGACACCTGGTTCATCCTCATTGGTCAATCCTTCAGTCACTTTCAGCCCAAATTCAGAAACCAGGCCATCCAGCAGGATGGCCCGATATTCCCAGCCAGCGAACATCTAGGGCTTCCCCACCTCCCCAAGGTTGACTTAAAACCATTCCGATCCCTTGGAAGCATTGGGCAGTGATCCCAACCCATGGGTTTAAGTCTATGGGGCAGCCTCGAGCATGGAAGTGCACAGACCCTACCAAAAGGAAAGTAGTCTTTCCAAAGGCTCTGTGCACTTCCGTGTTTGGTGGGAAAGGGGACGGGTCTGCCCTCTTTTTACCATAGGAAGATCGTGCTGATCCTGCGGGGCCTGCGCTTCGCGCGCATCGCGCGCTTGGCCAAGCTGATGCACATGCCCTTGCTGCAGGAGCTGGCCAACATCGTTTCTGGCTGCTCGGTCGCAGAATGTGGGGGTTGAGTTCGCCTTCAGCTATTGGGGGAGACACCAGGGGCGTGGACAACAAGGGCGACCAAAAAGCACCAAGACTTTTTCGAGTGAGCCAGAGAACTGGTAAAGTTACGCTGGCCCAAGGCATCCCAGCCCTGTGGGGCAGGGTTGCTTTGAGTGGTCGCTTTGCCACTATCAGCCTTATAACTTGCCACGCTTCCCAAGAGGCTGTTGCCTTGATGCGTGGGGCCTTACAGAGACATTCAGCTGCCGCAACTCAGGTTTTATCATCAGCGTGCCTTGGCTTTCTTTGGTAAGAGCCTAGGCTTTCTGTGGGCTGATCTATCCATGTTGCCTTTCAGGGCGAGGTGCTGGATGACGTGATCAAAATCAGTCTGTTCAAGCTTCGGATTATTTATTTTGTTCGTGAAACCTTTGTCGATGAGTTTCTTTGCACGGCTGGAATTTGCTCCCCAAATGAAATGTGCCCTGAGTGATCTTTACTCATATGTGCAGATACAGTAGAGAGATAGAGAGTCTTGTAATTCAAGATGCCAACATGGTCCAGCCAAAGCTAGTCCTGGCATTGTCTGGCCCGATCATGTGACATGGAGCCCATACGTTGCATGCTCTTGGCCCTGTCCATTGAAACAACTCCGAGCATTTTCTGGCGCTGGAGGCCCGGTCCCTTTTTTGGGTCATCGTCACCTTGAACGTCGTGGTCTATGCCGCTCGACGGCAAAAGTCAGCTGGAAATGCAGGTCCGGGGTCAAATACATGGCTAATTTGTGTTGAGGAGTTTTGGCGCTTCAGGGAGAGTGGTGGAATTCTGATTCTTGGGCTCCTGCAAGGTGGCCTTATCACGTGCTGCGAGGGTGCTGGATCTTGGTGAGCAAAACACAGTTGTAAAATGACTTTTGCAGGATCTCTGTGTTGAGGCATTGTATCGTTGGAGTGTTGGACAGAATTGAATGGAAGGTCCAGGATATTCCTGTGCAATTCTACGCATTTTCTGAGGGAATGCTTCAACAGTCGTCTGCTTCGTCATGCGAAGCGCTCCCAAATGGAGTCCTGACGTTGTTTGATCGGTTTACTCCTGGACCCTCAAACTGCCCCTGAAAACTGCTCATTGCCCTACTCCTATGAGCTGGTGTCCCTTTCCCGGGCAGTTTGAGGGTCTGGGCCTTTTTCACCCCCGGCAGGTTTGCGCCCTGGCCTTGCGGTCCATGGTGCAGAGCTGGACCGAGCCCAACACCTTGCAAAGGCTCGCCTCGAAACCGCTCGAGGGCTCGAGGCTGCCAACCTGTCTCCAAGAATTTCTAGGGTCTCCTAAACGATTTGGGGCAAGATATGAGTCAGAATCATGAAATTACTTTTTGAATACGCCACATATGGGCCTGCGGACAACAGTGTGGATGGTGACAAGATCTGGCTGATCGTTGCAACGGTTGTGTGCGAAATGGCTCTGTCATCCACGGTGCATGTCAAAACTGGGTTGTGGAATCGGAGCAAAAATTAGTGCTTACTCTGGGTTTCCGTTTAAAGCAATCCATAGGGTACCCTCAAAAGAAACAATGCCAACAAATCTACTCAGCTTCCGTGGGTGCGAGGGAAAAAAGGTTTCCTTGTGGCAAGACCAACCTCCAGGCTTTGTGGCGAGATTGAAAATTTGTCCGAGAGGAATCGAGTCAGCGCATAAAGTTGCGCGCTGTGGAAAGCTCTGGTCTTGAGCATTAGAGGCATTGGGATTCCTGACAACTCTTTGGTTTTGCAATTTGGTTCCGTTCGCCAAAACATGACCAGAAATGAAGCACTGTATGCGTGGTTCGGGGGACGAGCTGAGGTAGACTTATTTTCAGATGTGGGTGAGAACTGAGGTGTGGCAGTGGTGACTACATGGACATGGAAGGGGCCGAGGGCCCCTGCAGCTACATTTGCAACCCAGGATGTCTTTTTAGGTCCGTTGAAAGTAGATGACGCTGATTTCAGCTGTGTTTTGTTTCATGCGGTGCCCATTGGTACAGAAGGACATCTAGGATGTTCTTAAAAGAACCACCCTTGTCTAAGGTTTGTAGAAAGTTTCGCACGAGTCGGCAAGGCAGCATGGTTGGTTCCCCCCGCCCTATCTGGGGCATCCACTGTAGCAAGGCAAGCTGCATTTGGTCTACGGTGATGAGTACTGTGGCTCCGTGCTGCGGTGTATGTTTTCCATCTTCCGCTGCATGATCGGTGACTGCACGTCAGCAGGCAAGTGGCATGGTCAGACGTGTTTCATTTCGAAGCCTGCAGACCACCAGCGCGGCCGCAGGGGCAAAGACGGTCCCTGTGCTCCCCTTTTTAGATGTTGGCTACTTTCATGAGCGTCAATTTTAATGGACGTTTGCTATTCTGGCCGATGCTGATTGGAATTCCCCGCCTTCTTCTCTTACTAGGTGGGGCAAAACACAGTCTAATACCATTTGCCCCTGCAGTTTTCGCACGGAGCCAAGCCCCAATAGGGGGTGCCCCACTTGCCGAGGTTTTGTCTAGGGTTCCACTTGCATCGCAGAGTCATCAAGTCATCCCATCCTTTGGTTGATCCTTCGGGCTGAGATCTGGTTTGATGTTTCATTTGGATTGAAAGATCCCTTGGAGTATCTGAACGAGTGTTTCACTTTTCCTGAAATCGCCCACGTTCCAGTAGCTTTCCGTTGAGGCAATGCTTGAGTAAGTGCCTTCGACACTCCAGTTGGATTGTGTTGTGAGCATCTCCCACACCGGTCGTTCCTTAAACACAACCGGCAAGCCTGGCCGTCCTC